GGGAGAGGGAGAGAGCGAGCCCAGGCTGGAGCAGGAGTCAGCAAGGTAAGTATCATTGGTGTCAGTGGAAGGGATAGTGCACCATCATTTGTGTCACTAATACAACGATGGTGCACTATTCCTCCCCCCACTGACACCAACGATAGTGCACTATTCCTCCCACTGACACCAACGATGGGGCACTATTCCTCCCCCCACTGACACCAACGATGGGGCACTATTCCTCCCCCCACTGACACCAACGATGGGGCACTATTCCTCCCACTGACACCAACGATGGGGCACTATTCCTCCCCCCACTGACACCAACGATGGGGCACTATACCTACCCCCAACTGACACCAACGATGAGACAGTATTCCTCCCCTCACTGACACCAACGATGGGGCGCTATTCCTCCCCCCACTGACGCCAACGATGGGGCGCTATTCCTCCCCCCACTGACGCCAACGATGGGGCGCTATTCCTCCCCCCACTGACGCCAACGATGGGGCGCTATTCCTCCCCCCACTGACGCCAACGATGGGGCGCTATTCCTCCCCCCACTGACGCCAACGATGGGGCGCTATTCCTCCCCCACTGACGCCAACGATGGGGCGCTATTCCTCCCCCCACTGACGCCAACGATGGGGCGCTATTCCTCCCCCCACTGACGCCAACGATGGGGCGCTATTCCTCCCCCCCACTGACACCAACGATGGTGCACTATTCCTCCCCCCACTGACACCAACGATGGTGCACTATTCCTCCCACTGACACCAACGATGGGGCACTATTCCTCCCCCCACTGACACCAACGATGGGGCACTATTCCTCCCCCCCACTGACACCAACGATGGGGCACTATTCCTCCCACTGACACCAACGATGGGGCACTATTCCTCCCCCCACTGACACCAACGATGGGGCACTATACCTACCCCCACTGACACCAACGATGAGACAGTATTCCTCCCCTCACTGACACCAACGATGGGGCGCTATTCCTCCCCCCACTGACGCCAACGATGGGGCGCTATTCCTCCCCCCACTGACGCCAACGATGGGGCGCTATTCCTCCCCCCACTGACGCCAACGATGGGGCGCTATTCCTCCCCCCACTGACGCCAACGATGGGGCGCTATTCCTCCCCCACTGACGCCAACGATGGGGCGCTATTCCTCCCCCCACTGACGCCAACGATGGGGCGCTATTCCTCCCCCCACTGACGCCAACGATGGGGCGCTATTCATCCCACTGACATCAGTGATGGGGCGCTAGTCCTCCCACTGCAAAATTACAGTTATGAAGTAGCAACGAAAATAATTTTATGGTTGGGGGTCACCACAACATGAGGAACTGTATTAAGGGGTTGCGGCATTAGAAAGGTTGAGAACCACTGACTTAAGAGGATAGTTGGATAAAAAAAATCTCTGACAGAGGCTTTATGAACTGCCCAGTTAATAGCAGGAGGCATATCTTCCGCTTTATTGATAGTAAAGTAAGATTTCAAGTGTTCCGTGACATCAAGGCGGATCGACTCATTGCTATGAAGGAACTCATTTAATCGCCAATGTGGCTTAGCCAAGCTGACAGTTAAATTAGAACGTGTTTAACATCACCGGGTCATGGTCCGACCACGGTGTTGACACAATTTTAGCCAAAATCGATTTAGACAGCATCTCTGTAGGGAGGATGTAGGCCACACCATGACTTTCTCTCCTTTTATCCCCATAACAGCCATTGATGCAGAGGTATTATTTGCAGCATGAGATGGTACATTGTCATGCATGAAGATGATTTTATTACGGAAAGCATAGTTCTTCCTTCTGTACCAGGGAAGAAAGTGGTCAATCATAAACTCCACATACTTTGCAGAGGTCATCTTTACACCTTCGGAGACCCTAAGGGGGGCCGACCAGCTCTGTTCCCATGATTCCGGCCCAAAACATGACCCCACCACCACGCTGACGTCGCAGCCTTGTTGGAACAGGGTGGCCGTCCACCAACCATCCACTACTCTATCCATCTGGACCATCCAGGGTTGCACGCCACTCATCAGTGAACAGGACTGTTTGAAAATTAGTCTTCATGTATTTTTTCTGCCCAATGCAGCCGTTTCTGCTTGTGAGCATTGGTTATTGGTGGCTGAATAGAAGGTTTATGCACAGTTGCAAGACTCTGGAGGACTCTACACCTTGATGTCCGTGGGACTCCAGAAGCACCAGCAGCTTCAAATATCTGTTTGCTGCTATGTAATGGTATTTTAGCAGCTGCTCTCTTGATCCGATGCATGGATCTGGCAGAAATCTTCCGCAATGTGCCTTTATCTGCACGAAACCCGTCTGTGCTCTGAATCAGCCACAAATCTCTTAATAGTGTGATGATCACACTTATGTTTTCGTGAATTATCTGTTTTCATACCTCGTCCAAGGCATTGAACTATTTCACTCTTTTCGACAGCAGAGAAATCCTTTTTCTTTCCCATATTGCTTGAAAATGGTGCTCTGCTTAATAATATGGAACACCCTCCTTTAGCAGTTTTTCCTTAAATTGGGCTCACTGGCCAATCTAATTATCACAGGTGTCCGAGATTGTTTTCAGTGATCAAAAGAGCCCTGAGACACAATGCCATCTATGAGTTGAACTGAAAAACAAAATATTTAATCTTTGTGACACTTAAATAGAATTTGCATAATAATTTGGAACGCGGTGTAGAATACCTGGCACCAAAAAGGACCAACCCAGAAAATTTAGAAACCAATACGGCTAAAGTGCATAATTCAAATAGCAATAATGCAAAAACAACAATGTTGTTAGTATTTTCAATTTTATTAATTGGAAGAGTGGAAGCCAGTGGAGGGATTGGCAGAGAGGGGTAGCAGACACTGAACGGTTGGTAAGGTGGATGAGCCTGGCAGCAGTATTTGTGATGGACTGAAGGGGGATAGCCTACGTAAAGGTAAGCCAATGAGAAGAGAGTTGCAGTAGTCGAGGCGAGAGATAACCAGGGACTGAATTAGGAGCTTTGTGGTATCATTGGTTTAAAAGGGGGAGTATTCTGGAGATGTTGCGGAGGTTGAGGCAGCATAATTTGCACAAGGATTGGATGTGGGCCTGAAAGGATAGTTCAGAATCCAGGGTTACTCCTAGCACCCTGGCATGCAGGGATGGGCTGATCGTGGTGCTATTGATCCTGACTGAGAAATCAGGGGAAGTGGCACATGGGGGAGGAAATATTGAGCTCAGTTTTGGACAAATTGAGTTTTAGGAAGTGGTGTGACATCCAGTCTGATATGTCTGTTAGTAAATCGGTGATACGTGAGGAAACTGATGGGGTGAGCTGAGGAGTAGAGAGATAGATTTGTGTGTCATCAGCATAGAAATGGTATTGGAAACCATGGGAAGCTATCAGCTGACCCAAGAAAGAAGTGTAGATTGGGAATAGGAGAGGTCCAAGGACAGAACCTTGAGGGACCCCGACAGTAAGAGGAGTAGGAGAGCAGGAAGTAGAGTTGTGACACTGAAGGTGCGATGAGATAGCCAAGATTCGAACCAACAGAGAGTACAGTCACGAAGACCAAGTAAATAGAGTTTTTTGAGGAGGAGGGGGTGGTCAACTGTGTCAAAGGCAGCAGAGAGGTCCAAGAGTAAGAGTACAGAATAGTGACCATTGGTTTTAGCGGTTAGTAAGTTGCTTGTGAGTTTTAGGAAAACAGTTTCTGTGGAGTGTTGTGGGCGAAATCCAGACTGAAGGGGATGGAGGTTATTCTCATTAAGGTGGCAACTCAGCCAGTTGTAGACTAGACGTTCGGAGTTTGGAGAAAAAAGGGAGTAAGGAGATGGGCCTTAGGTTGCTAAGATTGGTGGGGTCCAGTGAGGATTTTTAAGTATGGGGGTGACTAGCGCCTGTTTTAGATAGTTGGGGAAGATACCAGTAGAAAGGGAGAGATTGAAGATACGAGTTAAATATTGATGGATATAGCCAGAGGGTGACCATAGTGTTTGCGAAGGAACACGGTCCAGATGATAGGTGGTTAGGTGAGCTTTTGAAAAAGTTGTCCAACCTCCTCTATAGTAGCTGGGTTAAACAAGGAAAGTATATATTGCACAGGTGGACAAGGAGTGTAGGTTAAGGGAGATATCTGTACAGTAGAGATCTCATCATGAATTGTATCAATCTTATTTTTGAAGTGATTCACGATTTCCTGGGCATTTAGTGGGTGGAGGTAAAGAAGGATGAAGTAGAGCGTTAAAGGTAGAAAAGAGTTCACAGGGACTGCGTGAAAGGGTGTTAATGAGAGTGACAAAATAGTTCCGTTTGGCAGTGTGGAGACAAGAATTGTATTTTTGAAGGGCACATTTATATTGGTCGAAGTCTTGCTGGGTCTTACTCTTACGCCATAAACAGTCAAGGGCAAGGCAATGTTTTTTGAGGCATCTGGTATTGTCTGTCTGCCAGGGAAGTAGCGGTCGGGGCCTAATTCTGTGTGCAGTGAGTTGGGCCAATGTGTCCACGGTGGATGACAGTGAACTGCTGTATACAGAAGTGGCAAGGTTGGGGCAGGACAGGGCTAAGATTTTGTTATAGAGACAATCTGTTGCCGAAAAAAGAGAGAAGGGTTAAGATAGCGAAGGTTTCTACGGGTAACTGGTAGTTGGAAGACAAGGAGGAGGAAGCCAAGGAGAGAGTGAAGCTAATAAGGGAGTGAACAGAGAGAGGAAAAGGAAAGTTGGTGAGGTTGCAAGGAGTGCATAGGTAGGAGAATACAAGGTCGAGGCAGCTACCGTTAGAGTGAGAAGCATGTGTCCATAGTTTTAGGTCAAAAGAAGTGGTTAGGCTCAGAAGTTTAGAGGTAGCAGGAGTGTTAAGATTAACAGGGATGTTGAAGTCACCAAGAATGATTGTGGGAATTTCAGAAGAGAAAGTAAGGCAGCCAGGCAGAGAAGTCATCAAGCAAGCATGATACCAGTCCAGGAGGCCGATAGCTCACAGCCTGCAGACATACTACAGGTGACGGTCAGAGACTGCAGACATACTACAGCTGACGGTCAGAGACTGCAGACATACTACAGCTGACGGTCAGAGACTGCAGACATACTACAAGAGAGGGTCAGAGACTGCAGACATACTACAAGAGAGGGTCAGAGACTGCAGACATACAACAGGTGACGGTCAGAGACTGCAGATATACTACAGGTGATGTCAGAGACTGCAGATATACTACAGGTGATGTCAGTCAGACTGCAGATATACTACAGGTGATGGTCAGAGACTGCAGATATACTACAGGAGATGGTCAGAGACTGCAGATATACTACAGGAGATGGTCAGAGACTGCAGATATACTACAGGAGAGATGGTCAGAGACTGCAGACATACTACAGGAGATGGTCAGAGACTGCAGACATACTACAGGAGATGGTCAGAGCCTGCAGATATTACAGGAGACAGCAGGTAAGTAAATCTTGTGGTGAATTATTTTACAGCAAGTTGGATAGAAAAACAGGTCAACATCAACAACATATGGGCATGGGCGATAGTACAGATGGATACTGCAATCATGATACAGGAGAGGGTCAGAGCCTGCAGAAATAGTGCAGGAGAGGGTCAGAGCCTGCAGAAATAGTGCAGGAGATGGTCAGAGACTGCAGACCTACTACAGAAGACGGTCAGAGACTGCAGGCCTACTACAGGAGAGGGTCAGAGACTGCAGGCCTACTACAGGTGACGGTCAGGGACTGCAGTCCTACTACAGGTGACGGTCAGGGACTGCAGTCCTACTACAGGTGACGGTCAGGGACTGCAGTCCTACTACAGGTGACGGTCAGGGACTGCAGACATATACTACAGGTGACGGTCAGGGACTGCAGACATACTACAGGTGACGGTCAGAGACTGCAGACATACTACAGGTGACGGTCAGAGACTGCAGACATACTACAGGTGACGGTCAGAGACTGCAGACATACTACAGGTGACGGTCAGAGACTGCAGACATACTATAGGAAATGGTCATAGACTGTAGATACACTACAGGATATGGTCAGAGACTGCAGATATACTACAGGAGATGGTCAGAGACTGCAGATATTACAGGAGACAGCAGGTAAGTAAATCTTATACAAGCAACTTGGATAGAAAACAGGTCAACATCAACATATGGCTCACTGCCAAACACTCTTAAAAAAACAAATTATTGGTGTCCCAATCCACCATGGATTGCTGTTCAATGGAGTGGCAATGACAGCCACTGGTGTAACTAACCCCCAAGAACACTTTTCCTCTTTTCAGCAATATGGGTGGAATATACCATTAAAAAGGGCTTCCCCCAACAAAACGCACAAAAGGTAAGCACTGGGGGCACAACTAGCCATCTCCTGCCACATTCTACAGAACACCAAAAAGAAAAAGGGGTCACTGAGGGGTAACTCCCAGCTCCGGTCTATTGTGTCAGGGGCCGTGAAGAGGCAGCACAGCACATGACACAAGGCGGACCTGTGCCCGCTGCTCTGCCATGACTGGATGTTGGAGGCCCTCCCCTACCCCTGACCGATGCCCATTACTTCCCAGGCCTGGCAAAGAGCCCTCACTGACAGATCACACAGCCGCCTGGCCACTCCTTCCTGAAAGGCGCGCGAACCCTGACGGCCGGCGCGCGTTGCCAGGGAGACAAGGGAGGTGTACGTGCTGACGCTGTTCTATATGAGCGCGAGCGGCGGGACCTCTGCTCCTCTTATTATTTTACCGCCATCCTAGAGGGGCGCTCCCTCCTCTTCCTCCTCCTGTCTCCAGGCACTGCGCGGCGGCAGCGGACTTCTCGCTCTGTCACCCCCCGGTAAGAGCTCACAGCACGTCTCCGGAGCAGGCGGGACGCCGGGCGACACTCCGCTCTGTGACCGGGCCAGCCGACATATGTGTGTGAGGAGACTGGGAGCGGCAGCCGAGGGGAGGGCGGAGGGAACTCCTGTTACCCGGAACAGACATAACGGACCATCCACTGGGCTCTGACCGGCTGCTTGTGCTCCGCCTTACTCCCGCTAGGTGTATGGTGGCTCCGGTCACAGCGGATGACAGTCGTAGGCCTGGTCTGGGAGGGAAGTGGCAGGGCCGTAGAAGTGTGTGGTGATGGCGGGAGGTGTCTGGGTGATGGAGGAGGAGAGGCGCTGTCCCCGGGCGGGCGGCCTGCTCTGTGCTGTACACGAGGCGGCCGGGCAGCTGTGCACGTGTTGCTGTATTGATCAGCCGGGAGCGGATGCAGTGCGGCCTCCTCTCCTCTCAGACATGCTGAGTGCCGGAACAAGGGAGCCCCGACACGTGCACAGTGCGGCCCACAATGCCTGGATGGGCGATCAGAGCCCAGGGGGCGCACATGTGGAGGCAGGGCCGGCTCCTCCAGATGTGGTATGGCAGCACATGGGGGATATCAATGGTCCATGACTACACACCACCATAGTCCTCTACATCACTGACATCAGGAAGGGGATGCCATTTCCTTTCAGTTCAGCTTTTCTTTCCCAATAGTTTTTTTTTTTTTCCTAAGAACAAACCCTCATTCACGTCAGTGTTCTGAGTTCTCCTCCTGTACAATCCTATTCTTTCTATGTGTTGATGCTTGTTTGCTTGGCTGCACTACACTTAAAATGTAACAGTTATTTTTATTTTATTTTTTTTGTGTACACAAGCATTATTGCGCCAGCAAGTACAAGCCTGAGAAACTCCTCTCCTCCAGAAGTGATGTCCTTGCCCAGCACAGGAAACATGCCTGATGTTTGATGCATGTGCAACAAAAACATTCCTAAAGTGTTACTAAACCAGGGACCCCGCATTCACTCTATCTGGTCTCCCACAGTACACAGAAATGCAATTATTTTATTAAATATAAACTGCTAAATACCTTTTCTCATCAGCAGGCTTGTGACTTCTATCAGTGTCCAGCAGGGCACAGGTTTATCTTGTAGGAGGAGTCTTCATTCTCCCCTGATTGTCCAATGAGGCTACATGACCCCTGACCCTCTGTTGGGACAGTGCTGATTGGCTCTATGCTGATCACATGCATTTTCCTAAGAGAAACCGCAGTACACACCGTACTGAGCATGTGCAGCTTGTCCCCAGGTTCTCTGTTCTATCAGCAGATGGCTTGGGGACAGAAGGAGAGGATCAGAGAAGTCGGGCTCAAACATCTTTTTTTACACAATGTGGAGGATTAACTCCTTAGGTTCCACAGTGAGTATAACAAGCATGCTTTACTGCATATACAGACTGATTTTACCGTTGTCGGTTTAGTAACACTTTAAGACCAGATTCACATATGTGGCAAGGGCAATGCAGCTAATCCTGAGTGTTTCCCGCAAAACATTAAAATTGCACTCCGGTTATGCAGTCTGTCTCCAGTGTCAATGTCACATTAATGACACCCCGAAACAGACTGCATAAGTGCGATTGCTAGAATTTGATCACATGGGTGTCAACGCCCATGCGTTCTGATTCTGGTGCGGCACAAAAGTTCCTGCTCCTCTTTTGTGCGAGTGTGGTGTGAATTGAGCCTCTTCAAAAATGAATTCGCCTGAATCACACTGTAGAGAATCGCATGTGAATGGCACAGAAATGTGTGATTCCTGGCCAAATCGCATGCGATCTCCCACACCGCTATAGTGTGAATCCACTCGAAGGGCCCATTCACACTAAACAGCTGCAGTACAGTTAAACTACAGAAGTTTAATGTGATTTGTAAAGCTTTTTAAAATGAAAATAAACATGCTATACTTGCACAGAGCTCCCTGAACCTCTGCTTCTGGGGTCCCCTGCTGGTGCTCTGGCTCCTCTTTTCGGAGACCACCATAGGGAGCAGCTTCTTATGGTGGCACACCTGCAGGCTCAATCCCAGGAGGGAATGTGTGTGGCTATTGACACACACAGGGCAGCACTGCCTTGCTTACAGGATGCAGTTGGAGCTGCTGGCTCCACCTGCTGCCTGAGGAGAGAGCCGCTGAAGATGGACACAGTGCTGCATCAAGGTCAAGCTCAGGTAACTAGACAGAGGAGTGAGGGGACTATAAAAATGCTGGGATTTTTTTTTTTTTTTTTTCCTAATGCAGGGAATGCATTAAAGTGATATGAACCAATTGCTCTCCTGAGGATTTACCCCCCCCCCCCCATCCTGACCAGGCCATTATTTGCGTTACGGCACTGCATTACTTTAAGTGACAATTGCGCGGACAATGCAATCAAATGAAATGTACGTCCTTTTTTCACCACAATTAGAGCTTTCTTTCGGTGGCATTTGCCTGTGCGGGTTTTATTTTTTGTGCCATAAGCAAAAATGACAATTTTGAGAGGGAAAAAAAAAACAATATTTTGGACTTTTTGCTATAAAACATGTCCAGTAAAAAAAATTAAAATCAAATTTAGGCCAAAATGTATTCTGCTACATGTCTTTGCTACAAAAAAAAATACCAATACATGTAAATTGGTTTACGTGAAAGTTATAGCGTTTACAAATGGCGGTATAGATAATGGGATTTTTTTTTTTCTTTACTAGTAATGGTGGTAATCAGCAACTTAGCAGGACTGCGGCAGACATTCTGACACTGGGGGGAAGAAGCTAACTTGGTGTCACTGATCAATGTTTGTCATACATTTACGCCAAAATGTGTTCTGCGACATGTCTTTGCTAAAGAAAAGAAAAATTGTAATAAAATTCCAATACATGTAAATGAATTAGTTTACGGAAAAGTTACAGCTTTTACAAATGGTACATATACTGGGATTTTTTTTCTTTTCAATTTCTACTAGTAATGATCAGCGACTTGTAGCGGGACTGCGGCAGACATTTTGACAATGGGGGGAACCGACTTGTCACTGACATCCCCAGTGACGCCAATACAGTGATTATTGCTAACAAAAAAAAGCGCTGACACTGTACTAATGGCACTGGGCAGGAAGGGGTTAACACGAGGAGTGATCTAAGTGTTAACTGTGTGCAGTGGTTTTCTAGGGGGCGGTGTGTGTTTCACTGTAATCACACTACTTTGATGGCTGTGCTGTGCATAGCCATCCAGAGCAATGTGCCTGAGCTGACAGGGAGGACGACTGTTAGTAAACGAACAGTCCTCCCAGTCAGTGGTTGTCGGAAATCACCAGGTGCTTGCGAGTAATTACTGGCCGGGACCTGGCGATTGGCAGCCCCCAGCTCGCGCATGCCCCCTACCCGGACATGCAGACTCACGTATGTATACGTGATTTTGCGCACCCGTCACCCTTGTTGCAATATTTCTGCTATAGAGTGGTGTGGATGCGGTTAAAAGTTAATATTTTTGTTTTAAAACTAACATTGCTGGCTGAAATACTGCTGGCACTTCTGGCTTCTTCACCCCCCCCCCCCCCCCCCCCCCCCAGTGGGTCTGCCTACAGAGGAGGTTTTTTGTGCAATATTGTTACACGGAGCAA